CACTGGTGCTGCAGACACTGAATGTTTTTACATTAATATTCTGTACAGGGCACACAAAATCCAAACCTTATGGTTTTCAGACAAGCTGTTCTTTATTTGGAAAAAATAATTAATATTAATTAATAATTAATAATAAAATAAAAATGAAACACCAGGTTTGCTGTACGTGTATGGCCGCACAATTTGGCCAAACATTTTGTTTTTATATATCAATAAAACTAATAATGATTATGGTTAATATTTCTAACTAAAAACATTAAACAAAATAAGGTATATTACTTTTGTAATAACACTATTTCACTATAGACACTGAATGTTTTTACATTAATATTCTGTACAGGGCACACTGGTGCTGCAGACACTGAATGTTTTTACATTAATATTCTGTACAGGGCACACTGGTGCTGCAGACACTGAATGTTTTTACATTAATATTCTGTACAGGGCACACTGGTGCTGCAGACACTGAATGTTTTTACATTAATATTCTGTACAGGGCACACTGGTGCTGCAGACACTGAATGTTTTTACATTAATATTCTGTACAGGGCACACTGGTGCTGCAGACACTGAATGTTTTTACATTAATATTCTGTACAGGGCACACTGGTGCTGCAGACACTGAATGTTTTTACATTAATATTCTGTACAGGGCACACAAAATCCAAACCTTATGGTTTTCAGACAAACATTGTCTTTATTTGGAAAAAAGGCCAAAAAGTTAATAATAATAAATAATTAAAAAACATCAGGTTTGCTGTAATTGTAGGGCCGCACAATTTGGCCCAAAATTTAGTTTTTTATCAATATAACTAATAATGTTTATGGTTATTATTTCTAAATAAATACATTAAACAAAATAAGGAATATTACTTTTGTAATAACACTATTTCACTATAATATACAAAACGGAGTATTTAAGAATAAACATAATAATAAATATAGCTCCAAGAAAAAAAAAGTACACTTCTTTACCCTAGAGAAAAACATAAGGATTTGCAAATGTTTACCTCAAAGTTCGTTTATTAAATTAAATTAAATTATTTTTGCTATTTTTACTCAAATTAGGGTTTTGTGAGCAATAATGACTACTCAATTAATGTAATTTCTTGTTAATTCATACTCGTCGCTGGAGAAACTCCACAAGTGAGACTCACTGATGACGTTCCAATTTACCTCAATGTTCATAATTATTTTTGCTATTTTTACTCAAATTAGGGTTTTGTGAGCAATAATGACTACTCAGTTAATGTAATTTCTTGTTAATTCATACTCGTCGCTGGAGAAACTCCACAAGTGAGACTCACTGATGACGTTCCAGGAAATCCAGCTTTCGCTGTAGATGTAGCCGAGTAGCTGACTAACATGCAGATAGAGGTTTTACTGATGAAACATGAAGAAAATAAACAATGACTGTGACAACATATGGTTTTATCTGTGCTCTTCAAGCCATCTCGGGTATTTTTATAAGAAAGTTTAAAATGCAATGCTAATTGATATAGCCTTTATCACTATATAGAATGATATAAATTGGCATGATTTCTGCCTCATTCTTTTTAATGAAACCATGTCAGATTACAATAATAAGTTATTTTAAAGACTCGACTGATGTTGTGAAGTGAATTTGAACTAAAACATATCATTATACTTTTGTTGGAAAACAGGTTTGTAATCTTTCCTTGTGCAAGATAGGCTAACATACAAAGCCAGTTAGACTTACTTAACAATCAAATTAATTCTGCATATTAATATTTGTATTACCATGTGGACTCTGATTGGACAGTGGAGAGGTACTGATGTTTATGTAATGAAGATATCTCCAAATACATTCTCACTAGTTCTTTATGAGGTTGAAGATATCTCCAAATGAACA